ATGGTATATAGAGACCAGGAAAACTCGTCTGTGTTTTCGAAACCATCACAACCAAAACACAGAGCTAAGCAGCAAGCCTGGTGCCTCACCGTCTTCTGCTGCTGAGGCCCACTTCTCACCAAGGAATAAGGAAAGAATTCGTGGAACTGTGGTTTGAATGTTTATGTCAGTTTTCCTGCTTGGTTCAAACTCTACCTGGGGTTTAGCCGTCCTCACAGTATCTGTAGGAAGTTCTTTTCCTCTTCCTTCCATACAATAGATAATGTTTTGGGAAGGGGACCCCCCCCCCACGCTCATTTTAGTGTAACTGAAGCCAGATCCTCCAAGGTTGGCAAAGGAGGCTGGAATCACCATGGGGGGGCAACTTAGAACAGCTAGATCTTATGGCTGAGATCTCCAATTCTTTTTTCCACACATGGAGATACTCTCTCCTTTGCTAACCACAGAGGTTCTAAGTCCAGTTTTATTAAAGGCTGTCCAGGGGTTTCCTTAGAGTCTGTTCCACTCAAACCTGCTGACAACGTCCCTTCCCTCAACCTCTAGCTTCTCTGATGACCGGCTACTATGCCAAGAAATGCAGGTGAATAAGGACAAGTAAACTCCAACAACCAGTGCAAGCGGCAGACTTGCAATTATTCTTCCCATTCTAAATACCCCCTCAAAATATCCCCCACACTGTTCCAGGGACTGCTCCACTTTTCCACTCTTCTTTACAGCAAAACTCTCTAAGAGGTTTGTCTATATTGCCTGTGTACGATTTTTCTCCTCCCCCTTCTCTCTTGAATCCACTCCCACCAAGCTTCTGTCCACAGAGATGGCTTTTATCCAGGCCCCTAGGTTGCTGAAGTCTACCGAGAATTCTCAGCTCCTCTCTTGCTTGGCCAACCAGAAATACTTTTCACAGTTGATCATTCCTTCTTCCCCGAAGCACCTTCCTCGCTTGACTTCCATGACATCATTCTCTTCTGGTTTTCCTTCTGCCTTACTGGCCACATCCTGCCAGTCTCCTTTGCTTGTTCCTCATTGTCTTGCTAACCTTTAAATGTGGGAGTGCCCTGGGGCTGGGTCCTTGGTCTCCTTCTCTTCTCTAACTGTTCTCATTACCTTCTGGTGTCTTCTTACCATCCATCTCAGGGCTTTAAATACTATCTAGATGCCTAGGACTAAAAAATGTTCATCTCCAGCCCCAACCACTCCTATGAATGCCAGGCTCACATAGCCTACAGCTTCCTTGATATCTCCATTTAAGTGTCTAACTGGCATCTCAAATTCAACATATGCAAATTTTTTTTAACATATGCAAAATTTAACATCTGATATACCCCCAACCTTGCTCTTCCCACAATATTTTTTTTTCAACAATTTATTTACATTTTTAAAAACTCAGTTCGGGGCACCCAGGTGGCTCAGTCAGTTAAGCATCTGCCTTCAGCTCAGGTCATGATCCCAGGGGTCCTGGGATGAAGCCCCATGTTGGGCTCACTGCTCAGTGGGGAGCCTGCTTCTCCCTCTCCCTCTGCCCCTCCCCTCTGCTCATTGTCTCTCTCTCAAATAAATAAACATTTTAAAAATAAATAAATAAATATTTAAAAACCCAGTTCAGGGCGCCTGGGTGGCTCAGTCAGTTAAGCGTCTGCCTTTGCCTCAGGTCATGATCCCAGGGTCCTGGGATTGAGTCCCACGTTGGGTTCCCTGCTCAGCAGGGAGTCTGCTTCTCCCTCTCCCTCTGCCCCTCCCCCCTGCTCGTGCTCTCTCTCTCTCACTCTGCTCTCTCTCTGAAATAAATAAAATCTTTAAAAAAAACCCAGTTCATCCATTTCTCCCACCCCCATCCCTGCCTCTGGCTACCACCAATCTGTTCTCTGTATCTATGAGCTTAGTTTTTGTTTGTTGTTGTTGTTTTTTTTTTTTAAGAGTCCATATAGAAATGAGATACGGTATTTGTCTTTCTCTGTCTGTCTTATTTCACTTAGCATAATGCCCTTAAGGTCCACCCATGTTGTTGCAAATGGCAAGATTTTATTCCTTCCTATGGCTGAATAATATTATTATATACACATATATATTCCATATATGTGTATATGTATGTATATATAATATATAATATTCCACTATATATGTGTATATATGTGTGTATACATACTATATTTGTATATACACATATATACACACAAAAATTTCTTTATCCATTCATCCATCAATGGACACTTAGGTTGTTTCCATATCTTGGCTATTGTAAATAATGCTGAAATGAACATGGGGTGCATATATCTTTTCAAGTTAGTGTTTTCATTTTCTTTGGATAAATACCCCAAAGTGGACTTGCTGGTTCATCTGGTAGTTCTATTTTAATTTTTTGAGGAATCTCCATACTGTTTTCCATAATGGCTGCACCAATTTGCATTCCTGCCAACCATGTACAAGGGTTCCCTTCTCACCACATCCTCGCCAATACTTGTTATTTCTTGTCTTTTTAATACTGGCCATTCTGATAGGTATGGGGTGATAGCTCATTGTGGTTCCGATTTGCATTTCCCTGATGAGTAATGATGTTGAGCATCTTTTCATGTACCTGTTGGGCATCTGGTATGTCTTCTTTGGAAAAATGTCTATTCAGATCTATAGGCAATTTTTAATCAGATTGGTTTGTGTTACTAAGTTGTATGAGTTCTTTATATATTTTGGATATTAGCCCCTTATCAGATATGTGATTTGTAAATATTTTGTCCCATTCAGTAGACTGTCTTTTACTTTTGTTAATGGTTTCCTTTGCTGTGCAGAAGCTTTTCAGTATGATGTAGTCCGGCTTATTTATTTTTGCTTTCGTTGTTTTTGTTTTTGGTGCCAGATTCAAAAAACTCATCACCGAGACCTACGACAAGGAGCTTACCACCTGTGTTTTCTTCTAGGAGTTTTATGGTCTCAGGTCTCACATTCAAGTCTTTAATCCATTTTGAGTTCATTTTTGTGTATGATGTTAAGATAGTGGTCCAGTTTCATACTTTCGCATGTGGCTGTCCAGTTTTTCCAGAACCATTAATTGAAGAGATATCCTTTTCCCATTGTATATTCTTGCCCCCTTTGCCATATATTAATTGACCGTATAGGCGTGGGTTTATTTTTGGGCTCTTGATCCTATTCCATTGATCTATATGTCTGTTTTTATGCCAATTCCATGCTGTTTTAATTACTATAGCTTTGGAATATAGTAATATAGAAATCAAGGGGCATGATGCCTCCGGCTTTGTTCTTCCCTCTCAAGATTGCTTTGGCTATGTGGGGGTTTCTGTAGTTCCATACAAATTTTAGGATTATTCGTTCTATTTCTTTGAAAAATGCTATTGGAATTTTTTTTTTAAAGATTTTATTTATTTATTTGAGAGAGAGAATGAGAGAAACAGAGAGCACATGAGAGGGGGGAGGGTCAGAGGGAGAAGCAGGCTCCCTGCCGAGCAGGGAGCCTGATGTGGGACTCGATCCTGGGACTCCAGGATCATGACCTGAGCCGAAGGCAGTCGCTTAACCAACTGAGCCACCCAGGCGCCCGCTATTGGAATTTTGATAAGGATTGTGTTGAATCTATAGATTGCTTTGAGTAGTACAGACATTTTAACAATATTGATTCTCCCAATACATGAGCATGGAATATCTTCCCATTTATTTGTGTCTTCTATTTCCTTCAAAATGTAGCTGCTGATATACTTCCAACCTTGTTCTTCCCACAGTCCTTACCAATGCAACTCCATCCTTCCAGTTGCTCAGAACAAAAACCTTGGCAACATCCTGAACAGAAATGCTGTGTTACACAACTCCAGAGGGCACCAGCCACATTTTAGTCAATGCTACTGGTGTTATGCAACATGGTGACCCTGTTTCCCTTCATTCCTCTTTCTCCAACATCCTACATCTGATCTGTTAGCAAATTCACTTGGCTCTACCTTCAAAATGTATCTCAAAATCCAACAACTTCTCCCCAGTTCTACTGCTATCAGCCCGGCCCAAGCTTGTCCCCTTATAACTTTTTATCCAAAACAACAACAACAACAACTAGAGCAATCCTTCTAAAATATGTCAAATCACATCACTCCTCTACTCAAAATTCCCCAATCCTTCCCCTCTCACTCCAAGAAAAAGTCAAGATTCTTACAATGGCCTATAAAGCCTTGAATTGTTTTTTTCTCTTTGGTATTTATCTCTATGTAGCCTATGTATTTTATGTGTTTGTCTCATTGATTATCTGTTGCCCACATATGAATATAAGCTTCGTGAGTCAGGAACTTGGTGTGTTTTGTTCACAGCTGAAGCCTCAGTATCTACAATAATACCTGACACAAAGTACACACTCAATATATATTTGTAGATGAAGTAAATGAAGCAGGTTACAAAGGGGGAAGTCTTCACACATGGGCCAGAATCATACCAAAACACATATAACAAGTGAAATGCTATTTGAGTAGCCAGCTAGTGCTGGGACCAAGTCAAATCCCAGGAGATGTTCAGTTCCAATCTCCTACTGTTCGTTTTTCCATTGCTTTGATATTTTACCTGATGCAGTCTCCTTTCTTTCGCCTCCTAAAGAAATGCACCTATATAAAGTAAGGAGCTCCCCCTGGTGGAGGCAACTCCAACGAAGCAATGGAAAAGAAAATCCTAGAGCAACAGGCTTTTAAGTTATAAAGGAGACCACGGGGACAAAGGAAGTGACTCCAACATTTCACAGAAAAAGTCCTCTATAGAAACAAGGGGAACCAATGATTAGATTCAAAGTACATTGGGGGGGGGGACTTATCAACTTATTTTGCTGTTGAACCTTTTTTGCAGCTGAAAATGAAAAAAAAAATTCACTGCAAGCTGAACAACGTAAGTACCTACTCCCAAGGAATTTTTAATCTGGTAGAGGATGTAAGTCATGCATACAAATAAGTACAAAGCAACAAGTATGGCTGTGAATGAGTGAATGCGGACCAAATCAGAGGAATAAACTAAGAGCTATAACTTACCCAGGAAAGAGGATAGCTTTGGGTGAGTAAATCCAGGAAGACAACTTGGAGGGGGTGGTTCTGGAGTTGAGCCTTGAAAGACAGATAAAATTTTAGTAAGAGAGTATTCCCGGTAAAGGCCTAAGTGTAGGGAAGGGCACAGCTGGTGGAAACCCAAGCAGGCCAACAGGGCCCTGCAAATGTCACAATCTGGCTGACAACACAATTCAAACCCCTCCTTGAAAAAAGCAGAGATAGATTCTCAAGAGAAAAGTCCTTGGCAGAGGTAAACACAGGAAGGAACCAAAGAAATCCCTTTTCTTTGTTTTCCCTTGGATGAGAGGAACACTACTAAAAACTATGGGGGGAAACAAAGATAAAATACGAACTCCATGATAAATTATCCAGCTTACATACTAGAGGATTCTGAATCCACAATATTGAGGTGCGCCTGGGTGGCTCAGTAGGTTAAGCGTCTGCCTTGGGCTCAGATCATGATCTCAGGGTGGCTCAGGTCATTTCTTTTTTCTTTCTTTTTTTTTTTAAAGATTTTATTTATTTATTTGAGACAGAATGAGAGAGAGAGAGCGCACAGGAGAGGGGGAGGGTCAGAGGGAGAAGCAGGCTCCCCGCCGAGCAGAGAGCCCGATGCGAGACTCGATCCAGGGACTCCAGGATCATGACCTGAGCTGAAGGCAGTCGCTTAACCAACTGAGCCACCCAGGCGCCCTGGCTCAGGTCATTTCATTTTCAACTTTTCATTTGAAACATTATAGACCGACCCCCCAAAAAGTTGCAAAACTAGTACGAAGAGCCCTTCACCCAGATTTCCCAAATATTACCATCTTATATAACCACAGTACATTATAAATCAAGAAATTAATGTTCATACAATGAACTATAATCGATAGACTATATTTTCATTTGCCCCACCAATGTCCTTTTTTCTGGTCAGGGATCACAGATGTTTTCTTAGACTCCTTTAACCTGGAACGGTTCCTCGGTCTTTTTTGGTCTTTCATTACCATGATACTTTTGAAAAACACTAGCTGGTTTCAATTTGGGGTTTATCAGATGGTTTATCATAACTCAATTTAGGTGATGTGTTTTGGCAAGAACACTCCAGATATGACGGTGTGTCCTTCTTGGTGCATCCTGTAAAAAGGCACGTGGCATTGGTTTATTTCATGACGAGGGATGTTAAACTTCGATCACTTGGTTAAGGCCGTGTCTGTCAGGTTTCTCCCCAGTGGCGTAACTATTCTGCCTTTGTAATAAACAAGCTTTTTTGGGGGAGATACTTTAAGACTATATAAACACACTGTTTCTCATCATACTTCTGCCCATTCATTTTACTATCCATTGATGGTTCTGGCCTGAAATAGTTATTACTGTTGTGCTGGCCAAATAAGTTTCTAGTCCCATTATTCTTTCTGTAGCTTATTAATTGGAATGCTATTATAAACAAGTGCTTTTCCTTCTCCCTCATTTATTTATTTATTCAGTTATTTCTTTATATTTGCATGGACTCATGGGTTCTTATTTTAGCCTCTGGGTTATGATCCATGACTACCATTAATTATCTTGTTGCTTGTCACAGATTTCACCATTAGAAACCCTTCGAAGTGACTCCTGCATCCTCCTGGCACATCCCCATTATTCCATGGACACTGTCTTACTTTCTGGCAGAGGAAGACATTCCTGACTCATTTTCTAGGCTCCCTGTCCCAGCCCGGGAATCAGCCATTTCTCCGAGATTCTGGTTCCTTTTATTTGGAGAATGGTATTTTGAAACCAAGATCTTGAGTGCGAGGTGTGCTCACTGGTATTGGGGTGTCGCTGCTTCCAGGACTTCTCAGCAGACAGAGCTAGGAAATATATGCATACCTACAAACCACTCTATTTCCGTACCTATCTCTGGGGGGGGGGGTGCGTGTGCGCATATAAAGTGATGCATGACGCATTCATACTGATAACCTCTGATCACCACCAGTCTTCCGTCTTTTCTTTTGTGTAACTCCTCCCAACAGAGTAAAAGCTGGCTCTTGTTATTCACAATATTTTATATGCTCAAGACTAGAATCTACGTAAAGTAGGTTCAGAATTGCCAACCCGTATCCCAGTGGAAAACAAACCCACTATCTAGAGAACAGGATTTGTGTTTGGTTTGGGGGGGGTTGGCGGTTGGTCTTTAGCCTTAGAACAGTGGTTCTTTTTTTTTTTTTTTTAAAGATTTTATTTATTTATTTGACACACAGAAAGCACAAGTAGGCAGAGAGGCAGGCAGAGAGAGAGGCAGAAGCAGGCTCTCCACTGAGCAGGGAGCCCGATGCGGGACTCGATCCCAGGACTCCAGGATCATGACCTGAGCCGAAGGCAGTCGCTTAACCAACTGAGCCACCCAGGCGCCCAGAACAGTGGTTCTTGAAGTGTTCTCCCTAAATCAGCAGCATCAGCTTCATCTGGGAACTTGTTAGAGATGCAAGTGCTCGAGCCCCACCCTCGACCTACTGAATTAGAAATGCTGGAGGGGGAGGCCATCACGCAGAAGTCCCCGAGCTCCCTAGGGGACTCTGATGCATACTGAAGTTTGAGAACCACTACTGTGGAGTACATAGTCAAAATACTCTTTTCTGGGGGCACCTGGGTGGCTCAGTCATTAAGCATCTGCCTTCAGCTCAGGTCATGATCTCAGGGTCCTGGGATCGAACCCCGCATCGGGCTCCCTGCTCCGCGGGGAGCCTGCTTCTCCCTCTCCCACTCCCCCTGCTTGTGTTCCTGCCCTCGCTGTGTCTCTCTCTGTCAAATAAATAAATAAAATCTTTTAAAAAATACTCTTTTCCAAAGTTAGTGCATTAGTCTGCTCGGGCCGACAAAACTAAATACCACAGATGGGTTGACTTAAACAGTAGAAATGTATTTCTCCCATCTTAGGGATGTGAGAAGTTCTTCAGGCCAGAAGTCCAAGATTAAAGTGCCAGCAAGGCAGGGGCACCTGGGTGGCTCAGTCGGTGAAGTATCTGTCTTCAGCTCAGGTCGTGATCCCGGGGTCCTGGGCTCGAGCTCCATGTGGCGTTCCCTGCTCAGCGGGGAGCCTGCTTCTCCTTCTCCCTCTGCCCCTCCCCCCAACTCATGTTCTCTCTCGCTCACTCTGCTCTCTCTCTCTCGCAAATAAATTAAAAATCTTTAAAAAAAAGTAAATTCAGAAAAGTTCTCATCCCTTCTACCTCATTCGCAGTCCTTTCAACCCTGTTCCCATCCACCCCTGTAAATTACTAATCCCATTAGTTTTTGGTTTCTCTTTCCACACAAGGAGCATTGGTTTTCCGTGGCTCCTGTAACAAATTACCACAAATTTAGTGGCTCAAAATGCCACGAATGTAAGATATTACAGTTTTGAAGGTCAGGAGTCCAAACTGAGATTCATAAGGCTAAATGTCCAGGCGTCGGCAGGGCTATGTTCTTTCTGGGGGCTTTAAGGAAGAAGCTGCTTCCCTGTCTCTCCAGCTTCTACATGCGGCCTGCACTCCTGGGCTACGGCCCTTCTTCTATCGTCAAATCGCTCTGACTGGGAGCCCTGCTTCCACAAGCACATCTCCTCCCTCTGACTCTGCCCCTTCTGCCTTCCTCTTACAAGGACCCTTGTCATCCGCTTGGACCCACCAGGGCAATCTCCTCAGATTTCCATCCCTAATCACATATGCAAAGTCCCTTCTGTCATATAAAGCCACATAGTCACAGTTCTGGGGATTAGTGTGTGAACATCTCTGGGGGAGAGGGGGCGTCATTCTCCCACACAGATATTTTTTAAGTTTTTAAAAACACAGAGTGACAGATCTTAGTATTCTCCTTCTTACAATCATTAAACAGCTTCCCTCTCTTCCTAGAAGGAGCCCAACCGCTTCACCCTGCCAGCCTCCTTCGCCTCCTTCCATGTCCTTGACTTTGCCAAATCCTTGATGGCTTTCAGCCTTTGCACGTACTCTTCCTCTGCCTCGAATATTCTTTCCCCAGCTCCTCTCATGGTTGGCTCATTCTTCCAGTCTCATCTCAAATGTCACCTCTTTAGAGAAGCTATCCCTGATTACCAGACAGGTAACAGCCCATCTCAATGACTGCAATTTAGCCTATTTATTTTCTTTATCATTGATCATGGTCTGTAATATATTATGTATCAGTTTGTTTATGGACCCATCTTTCTCACTAGAATGTAATCTCCGTGAGGGTGGAGACCGTGTATATTCCTGTACATCCCTAATACCTAGCATAGTCTTGATACCGTGTGTATTCCTGTCTATCCCTAATATCTAGACACTCAGTAAGTGTTGACAGGATAGATGAATGCTGCTTCAGTCTGGGCGGCCAACGGAGGATGAATGTGTTGCGGATTGAAATAGAGTAAACAGAAGAATCCCTGTGACTGTAGGTACTGCTGATGCAGACTTTCACAATCCCCAGTACAGCCTGAACAGTTTCCTATATGTCATTCATTCCTTCATTCATCCACAAGTATTCGCTGAGTAGCTAATATACACACATTTAATCCACACAACAATACCATAAGGGAGCTCCTATTACTATTATCCCCCTTTTACCGACAAGAAGACTGAGGTTCAGAGAAGTAGCGTGGCCAAGGACACGCAGCTAGGAAGCTACTACATGCTAGTATATGTTAGGCTTAACGCTAGGCTCAGGGGCTATACCAGGGAACGAGGGAACATGGTCGTTGCCCTCTCTGGTGGACAGTCCGAGGATGAATCCATGCTTACAGGGTGCTGTGCTAAGTGTTAGGATAGGGCTCTGCTAAGGGGGCCATGGGAGCACTGGCCTGGGACAGTGAAATCAGGGTGAGGAGTGAGAGGAGGCTTCTGGGAAGAGGAGGCGCTTGAACTGAATTTGAAGCCTAAGTAGATCTTAGCTAGAGGAATGGAAGACCAACTAGCCAGCTACTGATCAGGCTCACGGGCTATCATTTGCCTTGATGAAGTTTCTGGTTTTCTATGGTCTGGCCTTCACGGCCACTTTGCAGGGTGAGAAATCCAATACTGTGAGTAACCGAGAGTTATCTGACATTGGGAATACTGGCACATGCTAATAACGCTCAGGAGAGAATGAAGTTTATCAATCAGAGTTCGTTCACTAAACTGGGAAGTGGCCATTCTCTCCAAAGGCGTGCCTCCTGGGGCAGTTTCCTGGGGAGCCGAGACCCGGGGTCCCCACGCTTTCTCTTTTTTTTTTTTTTAAAGATTTTATTTATTTATTTGAGAGAGAGAGAATGAGAGACAGCCTGAGAGGGAGGAGGGTCAGAGGGAGAAGCAGACTCCCTGCCGAGCAGGGAGCCCGATGCGGGACTCGATCCCGGGACTCCAGGATCGTGACCTGAGCCGAAGGCAGTCGCTTAACCAACTGAGCCACCCAGGTGCCCCCCCACGCTTTCTCTTTAAAGGGCCAGATGGTAAACATTTTTAGTTTTGTGGGTCATATACGGTCTCTGCGCCACTACCCCACCTTTCCACTGCAGGGCAAAAGCAGGGACAGGTAACTCATAAACAAATAAGCGTGGCTGTGTTCCAACAAGACTTTATTTACAAAAATAGGAGGCAGGGTTTACGGAGCCCGGGCCTAGAATAAGAGAAGTAGTTACAAGATTCAAATGCTTCAGCACATTCACGTGTCCGCTGATGCAACAGAGCTAAACCCGCCTCCGGCATCAGACTGGGCATGTTCTCTCCTAGACAGTGCCCAGACCGACACCGCCAACATTGGCCTCTCTGGACCTTTTTTAATGCTCAGCCGCCTTACGAAATCCCACCCTTTCCTAAAGCGTTGGGTATATGAAGGCTCCACTCACCAGTAAAGCTCCAAGGAAAATGCCAGCAGCATCAGTTCCCAGCGACTTCACAGAGAAAGCCCTGCTCCTTTGTTACCTGCAGGGGGAAAGAGTAGTCTCCGTTCTTACAGATGTTTCCTGCAAAAAAAGTGGCAGATTCGGCAACGCTAACACTTAAAAGAGACCCACGAAGGGAGAGATTGTTCTTTTAAATTAGAATTTTTTATTTTTATAAAAGCAGTGTGGGTTCCCTGTAGAAAATTAGAAAACAAAAATAAGGGATAAGTAAATATTTATTATATTTTTATATAATTATATAAATAATTTTACATAACTATTATTTATTATATTTTTATATAATTATATAAATATAAATTATATGACTTATATAATTATACAAATATATGTTTATATTTATTATATTCCCACCTCCCAGAAACTACCCATATTAAGAGCTTAGTACAGGGGGCGCCTGGGTGGCTCATTCAGTTAAGCCGTCGGCTCAGGTCATGATCCCGGGGTCCGGGGATCGAGTCCCACGTCGGGCTCCCTGCTCAGCGGGGAGTCTGCTTCTCTCCCTCCCCTCTGACCCTCCACCCACTCGTGCTGTCTTTCTCTCTCTCTCTAATAAATAAAATCTTAAAAAAAAAGAGCTTAGTACATATCCTTCCAGATCTTCTTCTAAGTTTACATAATACATATCCGTACTTTCTACCAAAATGAGATAATACAGGTACAAAATGTTTTGTAACTGCTTTTTATCAGTCACCTCCACCACCACCCATTTATAAATTTTCATCTCATCGAATACCCCTCCATATTCAAATTTCCCTACTTTTCCCCCAAATGTCCGATAAAGCTGGCTTGCTCAAATCAGGATCCAATCTCAGACCACACTTTTCATCTTTAGTCTCTTTTCATTTAGAATAGTATCCTTTTTTTCAGGACAGGGATTTTGTTTCCTGGCCTAGCTCCAAAGCCTTTACGAGTTCTTGGTATCCAGTAGTAGCTCAAGAGATGTTTACATAATTAACTAATTAATATAAAACTTAGGGGAAGTGGGGTTTCACCCTAGAGCTTATCTCCTCCACCCATCACCCTTTATCTCCATTTTATAGATAATGAAAATTAGGACCAGAGAAGTGAAGTGACTTCCCAAGGTCACCCAGCAAGTACATGGCAATTGCTTTCCATTTCTCTATTTATTCTATTAAACCAAGAGTTGGCAAACTTCTGTGAAGGACAGAAAATCAGTATTTTAGGCTTTATAAGAAAATATAATGACAGAAATACAATAATACAATTACAAGGTTTTGTAATACAGGTCTACTAGTGAAAAAAAAAAATGGAATAGAAGAATAACATTTTGTTTAATTGTGGTTGAAAGTTAGTGTTCCCCACGATCCAAATGAGTGTAAAGGTTCATCTGATAAAACATTCTTAGTTTGCAGGTCATAGTTTGCCAGCCTCTGTCCTATGCTATGCTGCTTGTCTGTGATTTGGCTTTTTCTTTGTGTTTGAGTGAAAATAACATCCTTCTTAATTAAGTTATAAATGGGTTCCGGCTTATTGAAGTTATATGGTACTAAAGTACCAATGGGGAAAACTCCTTAGCCACACCCTTAAAATGCATTATTTTGTCTTACTTCAGCACCTAACTGTTGGTAATGTCTGTCTTCTTTCACTTAAATTGCAAGAAGGTAGGTTGCATTGTGATTGTGGCTTTCATAATTAACCATGTGTTAATGTTTAATGCGGCTGACCAATTTATAAATCAGTGCAAGTGAAGATGGTAATTGGCCTATGTCAGGGCTATTTTTTTTTTCTCAAATAAAAACATTCTATGCTATTCAGAGAACTAAATAGCCCAAGAGTTAAAAGAATAGAAAGTGGATGCTTTTGGGGGAGCAGGGAATGGGGAGAAAAGCCGGGGACTCCTCTCTTTAAAAAAAAAAACAACAAAGCTTGTAGAACTTTTGACTTTTAAAACTATGTACATGTATAATTTTGATAAAAATACAAGAAAGAAAACCAGAGGCACATTAAAGCCCCTTCTAGAAAAGGCTTCTTGAATACTTTCCTCCATCCTCCCAACTGAGGTTAGGGTCCCTCTTCTCTGCTCCCCACAGCATCCTGTGCTCAATTCCATCAGCACACGTAACACACTGTACTATAATTATGTTTCTCTGTCTCCCTCTTGGAGCCGTGAGCTCCTTGCAGGGATGGCCTATGTATTACTCATTTCAGCAACTAGATTTTATAATTTTTAAAAAGCTAGTCATTAAAGTGAAGTGAAACTAACCAAATACCCTCAATCTAGGCAAATTAACATCACAATGAGATACCAAACCAAAAGACTAAGCAGGTGTTGGTGAGGATATGGAGAAATTGGAACCTTCATACATTAACCAATAGCAATCTTAAATGGTGCAGCCACTTTGGAAAAAAGTCTGGAAGTTCCTGAAAAAGTGAAACATACAGTTGCCATCTGATGCAGAAATTCCACTCGTAAAGCAGGGAACGAGGGAACATGGTCTTTGCCTTCTCTAGTGGAGAGACAGAGAATGAATTCAAGCTCACGGGGCAGTGTGTTAAGTGTTATGATAGAACTCGGCTAAGGGTGCCAGGGGAGCACCAGCAAAGGGCAGTGAAATCAATCAAAGAATTGAAAACATATGTCCAGGGGCGCCTGGGTGGCTCAATCGTTAAGCGTCTACCTTCGGCTCAGGTCATGATCCCAGGGTCCTGGGATCGAGCCCCACATCGGGCTCCCTGCTCTGCGGGAAGCCTGCTTCTCCCTCTCCCACTCCCGCTGCTGTGTTCCCTCTCTCGCTGTCTCTCTCTGTCAAATAAATAAATAAAATCTTTACAAAAAAAAAATATGTCCACACAAATGTTCCCAATTATTAGATGACTCTTAATAACCAAAAAAACAAAAGAAAGAAAAAAGAAAACAACCCAAATGTCCATCAACTGACAAATGGATCGACAAATGTGGTATATCCATAAAGCGGTATATCCATACCATGGAATATTATTCAGCTATAGAAAGGAATGACATACTGATCCATGCCACAACATACGTGAACCTGGAAAACATGATGCTAAGTGAAAGAAGCCAGTCACAAAAGACCACACAGTGTAGGATTCCATTCATATGAACTGTCCAGAAGAGGCAATTATATAGAGAAAGAAGATGGATAAATGGTTGCTTAGGGCTAGAGGTCCGAGGAGAAATTAACTGCAAACAGTTTTATGGGAATTTGCGGGTGGGGAGTGTGAATGGGGACCAAAATACTCTCAAACCAGATTGTGGTGATGGGTACACAACTCCACCAATTTACTAAAAATAACTGTACACTTAAAATGAGTAAATTTTGGGGGGCGCCTGGGTGGCTCAGTCGGTTAAGCGTCTGCCTTCGGCTCAGGTCATGATCCCAGAGTCCTGGGATCGAGCCCCGCATCGGGCTCCCTGCTCCGCGGGGAGTCTGCTTCTCGCTCTCCCTCTGCCCCTCCACCTGCTTGTTCTCTCTGTCAAATAAATAAATAAAATCTTAAAAAAAAAATAAAATAAAAATAAAAAATTAAAGGTAGTGCCGCATGGGGCTCCCTGCTCGGCGGGAATCCTGCTTCTCCCTCTCCCACTCCCCCTGCTTGTGTTCCCTCTCTCTCTCTCTCTGGCAGATGAATAAATAGAATATTAAAAAAACAGTGAATTTTACCGTATGCAAAGTGTAAGGCTCTTTTTAAAATCCCTCAATCTATCCCATTACTTAGTTTCTCTCGAAATTAACTTTTCTCCCCCCAGCTGGCCTACCCGCGCGCGTTACAAGACCTGGTGAGAATGGTGGTGAACGAAGTTTCTGACGCATTCCTGGCGGCTGGGGCTGAGGGTTGTGCTGACAGACACATCAAAGTCAGCATCTGTGTGCGTGTGAAATTGTAAGATGTGTCGAGGTGTACGAGGCATTTCCGGCTGGCTGATCCAAGCGTGTGATCCGGGCAATCCGTGGCCGCTTCTGCCAGGCTAAGTGTGGAGTGTGCCCAAGGCCCCTACTCCAGGTAAGAAACGTCGTCAGGTCAGAGATTCACTTCTGGGCAGCTCTGAAGCCCTGTGCACGCCCAAGCGAACGTTCCATCAGGGCACATCCGCGGAACCGGTGAGGTGGGGACGGCGGTGGGGGGTAATTTGGTCAGCGCTTAGGGGGCAAGGAGGTCCTGCCAGAACAGCCAAATGACCCAAACTACGCCCCCACCCCCGCTCCCCGCGCTCGGCGCACTCCCACGGGGGTCCCCCTGGGAACAGCACGTCCCTCCACGGGGACGATGGGATGTGACAGCACCTCTCCGAGCTAGGGGAAAGCCTGGCACCGAGTCCCCCCCCCCCCCCGCTTGCCGGAAGGGCACAAACTGCCACAAAGCCAGAGGGAGGTGTCTCCTCCCAGGGGCTCCGGGCGCCTGGGAAACTCACGCGGCTGCTCGGCAGGGTGGCCGGGAGGTGACCGGTCAGGGAGCCCGGACTTGAGTCGCTGTCGCCGCCGCAGACCCACCGCGCGGCCGGCGCAGGGCGGAAGGAGAAGGCGGTGGAGGGGGCGGGGGGTGAGGCGGCGAGCGCGCCCGCAGCGGGTGGGGCCCCCGGCGGACCCCAGGACCCCGCGCGCCGCTCCCGGGTCACGTGGCCGCCGCCCCTCCGCGCCGGGCGCTTGTGTCGCAGCGCCCCCTGGCAGCCAGCAGCGGGCACGGCGGCGCGCACGGGCGCGGGCCGGCTTCCGGTGCCCCCGCAGCCCAGGTGAGGCCTCTGCCGAGGGGGGCGGGGGGCGTGCGGGGGGCGCGGCCGCCCGGGGAGCCCACGCAGACCCAAACGGGGGTCGCCCAGGGCTTTTGCCTTCCACCCTGGCCTCCTTCTCCCCAGGGACCCCAAAGAGCGCAGAACGGCCCAGTAATGACCTTGCACCTGGATCCGGGCTCCCTTGTGCAAAAGTGGAGCAGAATCAGGCAGTTTGGGGGCGCCTGCGTGGCTCAGTCGGTTAAGCGTCTGCCTTCAGCTCAGGTCATGATCCCAGAGTCCTGGGGTGGAGCCCTGTGACTCCCCACCCAGCGGGGAGCCTGCTTCTCCCTCTCCTTCTGCTGCTCCCCATGCTTGTGCTCTCTCTCTGTCAAATAAATAAATAAAAATGTAAAAACAAAAAAGGCAGTTTTGTTGTGGGTGGGTTTTTCTTGATGTGCTTGGAAAAAAAGGTATTTTCAGGTGCGTGAATGTGAGCCAATTATGACCTCCCTGAGCCTCAGTTTCCTCCTTTATAAAATAGGGGTAATAATAGCACCTACTTGACAAGGTGTTTGTGAGGGTGAGGATTAAATAAAATAATCCACCTGTTAAAAATAAGACCGCTAACCCAAAAATGGAGTCACTCATGCTAAGCCCTGGGTCACCAAAACCAGACCTAATATCGTTTTCCACCTCTCCCAGAAATGGAATCCTAGAGCAGTCAGGAATCACCAGGTCAGTACTAATGAAGTAACCGAAAGAAAAGTGACCTCAACCCAACCAATTCACTTCTTGCTAATATCTTCCTTGTTCCTGCTCCCTTTTGTATACAAAAGTCTTTCATCTTGTACAGCACCTCTGAGCTTCTTTTCTATCCGCTAGGTGGAATGCTGCCCAATTCATGAATCCTTAAATAAAGCCAATAACATCTTTAAAATGGACTCAGTTGAATTTTTTTTAAGATTGTATTTATTTATTTGAGAGAGAGAGAGTGTACGCATGAGCACAAGCAGGGGGAGGCAGAGGGAGAAGCAGACTCCCCACCAAGCAGGGAGCCCGATGTGGGGCTCAATCCCAGGACCCCAGGATCACGACTCGAGCCAAAGGCAAATGCTCAACCGACTGAGCCACCCAGGTGCCCCATGAATTTTGTTTTTTAACACACATAACGGGTTTGGCAGATTGGTTAAAGCTAGTTATATAATTTGTTTTGCAGGGCTTACTTAGCAAACTACCTAAGAGTAAGGGTCAGGTGCCTGGGTGGTTCAGTCATTAAGTGTCTGCCTTCAGCTCAGGTCATGGTCCCAGGGTCCTGGGATGGAGCCTCTTACTACTCGGCGGGAAGCCTGCTTCTCCCTCTCCCACTCCCCCTGCTTGTGTTTCCTCTCTCACTGTCTCTCTCTCTCTGTCAAATAAATAAAATATTAAAAAAAAAAAAGAGTAGGGGTCATCTTTCCTCAGGATTCAGGGAAACGAAAGGATTTTGACACCACAAAATAAACACATACCTAAGGTGAATTATTCATAAAAATGGTAAGTATATGAGAATGAAAACAGTCTCTTGCCACACCTTACTGTCCACATACACGGGACTTTGCTCATGTGCTATCTTCATTTGCACTGCTTTTCCAGGACTCTACTGTCCAGACAAAATTTCTTCATTGCAGGAACTTCCCCATAGTCCCATCAACTCTTCAATGGAAAGCATCAACAGTTTGTGCTCTAAAATCCTTCCCTTTCCTTGAAATTCTCCCCTTGCTGTTTCCACCAATCCTAGACTGTTGGCCTCATGATCCTTATCCAATCCTAATCAAGTGTCCATGTTGAAAGACCCTCTGCCTTAAATCAAAACCTTCATTTCTCAATAAATCCTGACCTCTCCTTTCCTCCCTGAAACACTACCGAAACCTTGTGAGGTGGGGGTCTTCCATACTGAGGTAAAGAATAAATTCAGCCTTGTCAAATCAACAGGTATGTCGGTGATATTTGGGGAGTTCAGCATTTGACAGCTTTGAAGGCCCCACAGAGATCCGGTGGCGGCTGAGACCTCATCGCTATAGTTCAAGACCTTCAACTTGAAATGAGTGTCCTCTTCTGAGGCCTCTTAAGCTTCCTGCTTGGGGCTCCCTGACTGCAAATGGGGGTTTTGTAGGTTTCACATTGGCTGAAGCTCTGATCCCTTTCTTTGAGCTCCCAGTTGCTAAGGATACTGGTCCTGTGGTCCACACATCACCCCCAATGAGAAGCCATTCCTAACTCCCTGGACTGTAGGGCCCTCTGTGTGCCAGCTGTCCCAGGCTCCTCCTTGCCGTGGCTCTCACTATAATGGTACATAAGGGTAAGCCTAGTGGGACCAAAGTTCCCTGCATTGTAATCATGAGGTCAACCTGTGATGTGGCTGGGACCTGGGTGATTTTATGGTGATCTCTTTCTCTCCACAGGCCCCATGCCCCCCATCCTTGAGTTCTCTTCTTCCTTTTGAGTTCTCTTCTTCCATTCAAATCTTCTCATTGAGTGCCCCAAAGAGTTTTAACATTTTCTTCTCAGTCTTTCAGATTTTATATTCATGTTCCTCATTATTTTAAGACATTCCCACAACTCTCTTGCTTTTCCTGTGAAAACAATCATACTCACTACAATTAATGCTCAGGCAACTGTGTTTATTTCTTGTATTTTTGTATGTTTCTATATTTGCTTAGACTTTACCCCCCTTACTCCTCTTTTTGCAAACGATCTTTAATTTCTGCTCTTGAAATGATTACATTTATCATTAGAAAAAGAGCAAAAACTGATAGCTATGTATATGTAAAATTCTAGAGAGTATAACCTCAATAAATTTTATATGTATCTACACTCACATACAGAGTTAGAAAAACATTTTAAGAGAAATATGCCAAAAGGTTCAGTGCTTACCTTTGGCTTTTTTTGCTCTTTCTGTGCACTTTTGTAGCTATTTAAATATGAACCATACAAAATCTTTTACATAGTTTTGTGTCATTCTGAACATCCTACTCTTACAACAACTCTAAAATTATTTAATAAATAAAATAGTTGTACAAAACATTCTGGCAGGCAGCAAAGGAAAAAGTTTGTATGTTGTCTCTTAAGTGTCAACTATCAATGATACCATAGAGATTCTATTTTCAATTATGTTCTCTTGAGTTAAAATAGATCTTGGTTCATCCAGGATATTTAAAATCAACCTTCATCAGGGTGCCTGGCAGGCTCAGTCAGAAGAGCATGTGACTCTTGATCTGGGGGGGGGCATGAGTTTGAACCCCACGTAGGGTGTAGAGATTACCAAAAAAAAGGTAAGTCAACTTAAAAAAATTTTTTTTAATCAACCTTCATCATATCTCTCTAGTAAAATTTATTTTACTTACAAATTTTCAAAGAGCTTTAACCTGTGTTTACCAGACAGGAAACTGGGCAAATATTTGTATCTGCCTATTACCCCTGCCCCAGTAACTAATCTTCCACTGCGATACAGTTTTTCTCAGTAATGTCAATACTTTGCCTTGAAATATATGATAGGAAGTTCACAGGCTTTGGTGCCAGGCTTACCATCTGTTTACTGCTATATCACCTTATCCTGTTGCTATCTCTTCCTGAGACTCATTTATATCCTTTAAAATGAGGTTAATAATTCTTACTCAATTATTGACATGTTCAACACCTCCCAATTGAAAAATAGTCATCGTTATTGTTATTACTCTTGATTATTCTTTAGTATAAGGAAAAGAGCAAACAGTACCGAAAACAGTCATATTTTACAGGGCAGTTGCTTTTTTTTTTTTTTTTTTTAAGATTTTATGTATTTATTTGACAGAGAGAGAGAGAGAACAAGAGAGGGAACACAAGCAGGGAGAGTGGGAGAGGGAGAAGCAGGCCCCTTTCGGAGCAGGGAGCCCGATGCGGGGCTCAATCCCAGGACCCTGGGATCATGACCTGAGCCGAAGGCAGACACTTAACTGACTGAGACACCCAGGCGCCCCTACAGGGTGGTTGCTTTTAATATTTACAAATGCACATGGAGTGACTGGGAATTTGAAACACCTAAACCTAAGGTCTGATGATGTCACAGCAATGAAGCTACAAAGAAACCCATCTCTCACCTTCTGCCATGCGAGGGGCGAATGGTCCAACTAATAAGCCACAGCCTGCGAGAGTGAGAAGCAAGCAATTGATCTAGAACATCTCCCATGTTTCTTACCTTATCAATGAGAGGCGGATGGCGGTTCCATGCGCGCTGTTCTCTCCTTGACCATCTCCTCCCCGGCAGCTCTGGTTCCAAGAGAGCAGCCTGGCACTGCATTCATTCCAGCTACAAACCCGTAAGGAGAGCCAGCTTGTGTTTCAGGCAGCGTACTAGGAGCTGGGGATGCGCCTGTGAAGTAAGCAGACTAAAACATCTGCCCTTTTGAGTTTATATTCCAGCGGGGAGAGACAGGAATAAATAATTGATATAATACATCAGTAAATTAGGTAGCCTAGAAGAGAGGCATGTGATGGAAGGGGCGTGGGCTTGCCGGGGGCCAGGTGTGCCATTGTTAATGGGCTGCTCAGGGTCAGCCTCACTGAGAAGGTGCCATTTGAGCAAAAGCTGGAACGTGATGAGGGATCAAGGCACAGGGACATCTGGGGGGACAGTAACAAAGTACCAAAATATCCAAATGGTGCGCTGTTAGGTATGGGGGTTATAAACTTAGAGGGGAGGACAGATATAAGCAATTATGACAAACTGGTAAGTACTGACTCTCAACTCTAGAAAACAAACTGAGAATTGCCGGAGGGGAGGTGGGTGGGGGGACGGGGTAACTGGGTGATGGGCATGAAGGAGGGCACGTGATGTGATGAGCCCTGGGTGTGATACGCAACTGATGATGAATCATTGAACACTACATCTGAAACTAATGATACACTGTATGTTGGCTAATTGAATTTAAATTTAAAAAATGATAAGGACTACCTAAGATATAAAGAATGACCTCGAGTGGAGTCAGGGAAAGCTAGCCCAAGGGGCAGATGATTTTAGAAGTTCGACAAGGGTTTGGCCAGGTGACAAGGAACACCGGGCCGATGGGACAGCACGTTGGGAGTCAAAGACGACACAGAGGACCGTAGACTGGTGATCTTTGAAGGCCCTTTTCCAGAGGGGCCACACTTCATTTGTGTGGTGAGGCCCCAGTCATGGGAGGGCACACCCAGAGTTCTGGATGCATCGCATTCCATTCGAAGCACGGAGCCTACTTTATTCAGCCAAACCTTACTAGCGGTCTTTCAAGTAGTTTGCAGCTTCCCACTATGACCCACGAAGGCTAGGGTAAACATCTTTATTCATAAAACTTCTTTACACTCGTTCAGTTA